TATATAATAATAATAATAAATAATAATAATAATATATAATAAAAATAATATATAATACAAAAATATATATAAAACAAAGTGAAATATAATAATAAAAAATATATATAATAATAATAATAATATATTATAAAAAATATATATAAGCCCAAATAATAAAAATGAACTATTTTATTTTAATTTTTATGATTGAAATAGAAGCATAAATTATCAATTATATCATGCAACACAGTAAAATATATTAATAAATTAAAATGCATTATAATAAATACATAATAAAAACGAAAATAAAATAGTGTATTGAATGAATATTCGATAAATAATTGATAGAAGTCAAGCAACACTAGAACATAAATATATAATTATAATGGGAATTCAAAGCCTCATTCAAGGCAAAGTCACTCTTACAGCTCAAATAGTCCCCTCATTCTCAATGCTCTCCAATACCAACTGTCCGTGAGAATCACATAGTAAGGCAATTATGAACGTTATATAGTTTTTCAGAGAGTGGTATTTCAATGTGTGTGTAAACCTCTACTCCAGCTGCCAGGCATTGTCTATTCCAGCCATCATCCGATGTCTGTGTATATATAATATTGTATTTCACTCTAACTGACGTCTCTTAGTGCTTCCATTGATGTGTAATCCATTCCTTCGATGGTCAGCCACATTACCTATGTTTATTCTAGCCATCGTACGATATCTGTTTATATACAATTTTCCACTTTAATTGAGGTCTCTTAGTGCTTCAATTGATGTGCAATTGTTTCCAATATCTGTTTATATATCAATATATATACTATATACTATATAATGCTTATAGTGTATATGCATTGCTCCCACACTTTGGATTCTTAGATCATGATTCTTACATTAATGCTCAACGTAACGAGGTGCGCGAATGTTTTAGTTAATGGATTTTATAATCTGCACAGCAGTTGAGTCAGTCAGGCGACGGGAGAGAGGGAGGGAGGGACGGACTTGACTCCCTTTGCTTTGAACACTCATTATTTATTTATGGCTTTCTGATGTTTGTTGTTGTTGTTGTTGTGTTTTCCGCGTGTTTAGAAAATCTGTTTCCAACGCCTCACTCACTGAGCCAAGCCAAAGAGACAACAGAAGAAAAACAAAAACAATAATAAGTAAATTAATAATGGAAATAAAATAAAAAGCCGTCGCTTTAGCCGCCTCTGCACCTGTATCACAGAATTGTCGAGAGTCGAGTCTATGCCGGCACCTGGCACCTGCGGCCGACACTTGTTTGTTTTATTGTTATTATTGATATTAATTAATGCAGCAGACATTTGCATTAGCATCGAATTAAGCTGGCTTTAAGCTTGGCCAGTTTGGTCAGCATGGCTAATTCAGTGATTCAGCTCTATATGGATGCCGACAGGGCTCAGGCCCAGCCCAAAAGCCATTCGCTTTCCCATTATCATGATCATTAACATTCACATTTGGCCCCCTCTGTACCCCCGTACCCCCGTTCGCCCACGTTGGTTGGGTCAGCAGCTGTGCTGCGTTCCCCCGCTTCGGATCTGCTGTCTCCTCTGCTGCTGGGGTTGGCTGTTTGTTTACTTTGCCTGCCAAACTCCGCCCACAAAACTCTTTAGCGACAACAACAACGACAACAAATGCCGGCCGGCAACTTCAGCCGTGCGCTTTCAATTCAATTGAATTCATACAGCCCATGCGATTCCATTTCGTTCCAAACATCGATCTCTGGGAAACTTGTACTTTATTGGCCGCCATTGCGGCCATTTTGTTGAACAGAACGAACGAAGATCTGAACAAGATAGGGAAGAGGAAGACGAAAAGAAAACAACAATTTTTCAATAAGTTTATCTGGGAGCAATATGATCCAAAAAGAAACATGAGAGACTGTACTTTCTGTGGGAATATGAGAAAATAAAACGTTAACAGCAGTGGGCTGTTATGGCAGAGGCTGCGCAGAGAGTGCTCGACTCGCAGATACCCTGTACTCGGTTGAACATGAAAGATATTCAGCTAGCCTCTGGTGGAGATATATGAAACAATATAGTGGGAAGGCTCAACTGAGGGCATATCTATGTAGATATAATAAATAAATAATAAACCAAAAGAACTAGAAGTTTGTAATTTGATTATCATTAATGATCAATGCTTCATTGTTGCCTTATAAAATATCTGATTTAAAATGTTCTCAAATGACGAAATCCCAAATTTCATGACTATACGTCTATATATTCCAAACTAACTTTGTATATACTTAACCAATAGAATCCCAATAATCAGTTTTTTGTCGATTTACACAGAGACAGAAACTATCGAAAATTATAATGAATTTAGATTTTTTTTTTCGATTTATCGCGATTTAGATTTTGTACGAATTATCGAGACTGGGCTGTATATACATATGTATGTTCTATAAGCTGTTGTCGATCCTGTATACCATCTATATACCCTATCACAAATACCATCGTTTCCCTTTGTACTCTCTATGTACCACCTGTATACCCTGTAATGTCAGAAATACCACAGATCCCCATTGCAGTTTGACTTTTACAGCTGAAGTCGATTACAAATGATGTAATTTAGATATATGAATTACTATAGATATCTATGCAGGTCGTTCATTTAGCGTTTGGGTCAGTTGTACAGGGTATCTGCGTAGTTTATTAACGACAAGAACAATGACAACGTTTGTTAACTGATGACGAATGACACATTCAAATGACAACAAACAAGACTACAACATAATAAGAAGAAGAAGAAGAAGCCGTTGCCAAAGGCCATGGCCAGGCCATAAACAGACAGTGACAGAGACGGGCATAGATAGAGAGGGGAAATAGAAAGAGTGAGAGAGAGAGATAGAGAGAGAGCAAGAGATTTAATCGAAAAAGCGTGGAACCAGATTTGCTGTATGTGAATTCAGAGTTGGATTTCCTCTTTGGTATTTGTTGGCAGTTTCACAATTGAATTTCTAATAGGCTTAGACGCACACACACACACACAGACACGTGCACACACACACAGGCACTTGGCATCGAAAAGCATTTAAATTTAATGGCAGTTGCTTGTACGCTTTATGGCCCACAGAGCTGGCGAGACGGGACCGGGGAGTCGTCGGATCCGGCGTGCTGCTCTGCTATTTCAAAGTGCGCTGCCCAGTGCGCTCGCCATTCCCAGAAAGCGGAAGCCCAGAGCAACAACAGCCAACACAGTCCAAACAGAGCCATTAAAAATTTGTTATTTTATTTCTCAGCTTTTTCTTCTTCTGGCCAAGTGCAAAGTGAGCATTAAGGGCCATACGCTCGTCGGCCTGCCCGCAGTTGGCGTAATCTTTAGCCATTGAAGCGACACGCAATTTGAGGCGCACACGCACACACTCATACATTTCTCTTGCTGTTAATGTCATTAAGTTCGGCGTACTTTTGTTTTCCTCAACTCTCTCATCGCATCTGTTAGTTCATAGTGAGCTCGCATTTGCCCTCTGTTAATTGAATTAAATTTTGTTATTTTTTTAATTTGCTAAACGCATTAAGAACGCAGCCGAAATTCCGGCTTAAGTCATCATTCGAGCACGCTTATCATCGCACTCAAACACTTCAAAACTTACATACGTCCATCACTTGTATTTTTTCCCCCAAAAAAAAAGTGGGGTTTGTCTGTTCTGTTTGTCCGGTTCTTGTTTGCCCGTTCGAGCGGAAGTGCACGCCCCAAGGCTTACGAACTGCTGACCACGTAACGCTTGCACTGACAAACGATGACAAATTTCGAGGTAAACCGACTTGATTAACCAAAAAAAAAAAAAACGAGCCGATGAAAGAGAAGTACGAATTTCACTAACATGGGAAACACAAGATAGAAGACTCTTTGTACTTGCGAAAATTAGATAAAAGGTTTAGGATAAAGAACGGTGACTGGCATGGCATATAATGGAATGAGGGAAACCCAAATAAGATACAGGGATTACGATATAAAGCTAAATGAAGCTAACCTGAGCCTAAAGGGGGGTGTCCAAAACAACTGTAGAATAAAAGAAATCCAAGTCCAAGTCTAAAACTGGTGAAAAGCTCAAGCTTACAATTCATTACAGTTTTTAATTTGTTTCACTATCTATTACTATCTATTAAATCTCATAATATATATCAACAAATCAATCTTATAAACAAAGCAGATTATAAAGAAATATACCATAGAATCCGGTTATAGCGCTCGTTAGATCTAAACAAGGATACTTTGAATCCAGTGCAACTCTTCGTCAATGGAGATCATCTGATCAACGGAGCGTTGCAACTCTAGCTAGAGCTCTAAGCCCACTCAACATTTTTCTATCCGCATGGATCATTAGCTTTCCTATGGTGCTATATACACATTGATCGCTATATTTCGGATAGATTAACTAATCTCCCGATCTATTGTGTTTGCTTGAAGATCAGATGCAGATCCTAAAGGCTGCCCAGAGGCATTGCTGCAGTAGCCAATTATGATGGGGCTCATCTTGCTGCGGTTGCTCTGTCCGAATGTGGGGCACACGCAACTGTTATTTCTTGCATTTCAAATGGCGCATTGCGTAAGCAGCCCTTGCTCTATAGGCGAGAGGTGTGTGTGAGTGTGAGTATGCGTGTGTGAAGTGCCATTCACGCATACGCTTAACACACTTCTGTCGTACGCATTTTCTATGCAAACGAGCGGAAAGGTGAGATGAGGGGGGCTACACGCAGTGCGTGTCCAAATGCAAAAAAGAAATAAATGTGTGGGAGAAGGGGCGGGACTGGGGCTGAGGCATTAGGTTGGCAGATCAATTGCGGACGCGGTCGCTGCTTTTAGCACGGTGGCGTTAATTGCCGTGCCAAGTACGCGGCGGGCAAACAAAGTTGCCAATCGCTTCAGCACAGAGAGCGGCTCACAGAGTGTGAGCGAGACAGAGATACAGAGAAAGAGGGAAAGAGGGCGAGCGAACCATTCGAGTTGGTCAATTTGCTGCTTGACTGCAATTGCAACAGTTCTCTAATTGATGTTTACCCTTGCCCTCCTTGCAGGACTACAATGGCGAATGCCCGTACTCGCTGTCGCCCGTTAGCGCCAAGAGCCAAAAGCTGCTGCGATCGCCGCGCAAGGCCACGCGCAAGATATCCCGCATACCGTTTAAGGTACTGGATGCACCGGAACTGCAGGATGACTTCTATCTGAACCTGGTCGATTGGTCGTCGCAAAACGTGCTCGCCGTCGGTCTGGGCAGCTGCGTGTATCTCTGGAGCGCCTGCACCAGTCAGGTAAGCGCAAGTGCAATCCTCAAACTGCACTGCAATGCTAATTGGCTCACTTTCTGTCCACGCAGGTCACCCGCCTGTGCGATCTCAGTCCCGATTCCAATACGGTCACATCAGTGTCGTGGAACGAGCGCGGCAATACGGTTGCCGTGGGCACACATCACGGCTACGTGACCGTTTGGGACGTGGCAGCTAACAAGCAGGTGAGTAACGGAAGACAAACGAGAGGGATGACGAAATGGAGAATGGCAATAGATCCATTGACTAACAGAGAACGAGTTACCAGCAAAGAGTGAGGAGATGGGGTTGCAGCTCATTTTAGGTATAAGGAATAGCTGTATAATGAAAACTATTGTATGAGACATTACACGAGGGAAAATCATCTTGACAAGATGAACAGAAGTCATATAGAAAGAGAGCCAGCGATGAGTGAGGATACGTAGATAGAACCAAGTAAGAGAAGCTTGACAAGTGCAGTAATATAAGTGAATAAGCAGTCAGCAAATGAGTAAAGACGTCATATCCAGTATATATCATAGTAATATACCATAAGAAGTAGGTTTTAGGCAACGACTGAAAGCTAGAGGAGACGAGTAATGAGTAATGAGTAATGAGTGAGGGGTAGGTGCTGTTAAGAGAATAGGAGTAGAAGCAGATTCAGCTGAGTGAAGAGCTAGCTCAGTCAAGCTAGGGTAAGCTGCAATAGAGATTGCTTGGGTAAGCGCCGTAGTCTGTGTAAAGCCGTAACTAATGAAGCAACCTGCTTGCTTGCAGATCAATAAACTGAATGGACATTCGGCGCGTGTGGGCGCACTGGCCTGGAATAGCGACATTCTCTCTAGCGGTTCGAGAGATCGCTGGATCATACAGCGAGACACACGAACGCCGCAGCTGCAGTCGGAGCGCCGTCTGGCCGGGCATCGACAGGAGGTGTGCGGACTGAAGTGGTCGCCGGACAATCAGTATTTGGCCAGCGGCGGCAACGATAATCGGCTGTACGTGTGGAACCAGCACTCCGTGAATCCGGTGCAGTCGTATACGGAACATATGGCCGCCGTGAAAGCAATCGCCTGGTCGCCGCATCATCATGGCCTGTTGGCCAGCGGCGGCGGCACTGCGGATCGTTGCATACGCTTCTGGAATACACTGACGGGCCAGCCCATGCAGTGCGTGGACACCGGCTCGCAGGTGTGCAATCTGGCCTGGTCGAAGCACTCGTCGGAGCTGGTCTCCACACACGGCTACTCGCAGAACCAAATACTCGTGTGGAAATACCCGTCACTGACGCAAGTGGCGAAGCTAACTGGTCACTCGTATCGTGTGCTATACCTGGCCCTCAGTCCGGATGGCGAGGCGATTGTCACCGGCGCCGGCGATGAGACGCTGCGCTTCTGGAACGTGTTTAGCAAGGCGCGCAGCCAAAAGGAGAACAAGTCTGTACTGAATCTGTTTGCCAACATCAGATAGATTCGCTGCTCAGATGTGGGTGGAGGCGAGGAGCCCTGACTGAGCGAGGCGCCAAAGGCAACCAACTAATCAACCAACCAATCAAAAACCAATCAACCAATCAAACAACGAATCAACCAACCAATCAGGCAATCATCAAAATGGGGACTACAGCCGTATCCACAAAAGGCGCTATGTTGATTTAACAATGTTTACTAAATTTATGTTAAACTTAATTGTCGAAGTGTTTTAGATACTTCTCTCTATGTCTAAGTTTTGGGCCGGGGCAAACTTCTGGTTAGAATTGTGGATTAACTTTTGAAAGAAAACCAAAAATCAACAATGAGAAAGAAAATGTTTCGTATAATCAACTAAATTTGGGTCGGTGCAGCGCTATGATATCTATTTAAATGAATTGAAAAACAAGCCTATAACTTAGTCAAATGATCCGATGAGCCTCCTCCTCCAGCTGCTCTCTGGATAAACCCAGAATATAGCTATATAATAGGTCCAAAAATTATAGTGTTTATGTCTTAAGTATGTATAGTGTTTATTAATCAATTCGCTAATCTTGATCTAATTGTAAATCTAATCCAAGAACCAGAACTGATAAACAAACTAAATGCAACAGCTCCTAAACTTAACTAATGGAAATCTAACATATATATACTAGATATAAATATGCATTTTTTCTGTTTGTAAACTAAAAAAAAATAATAATAATAAATTGATAAATATATATAAATTTTTTTTTGCTTAGCTTGTAAGCTTAAATCTTTTGCAATCGCAATATATTATTATACATTTGTTTTTTTTTCCTTCTTAATATACACACACACACGTAACACTTGTATATTTAATAAATTTATACAATTTCAAATGAAAACGGCATTTTACTTGCAAAAGTATCGATTCTTGAATAGATTTCAATTCATTTTCGAATTTTAGCTTGGACACGAACCATACTCAAGAGTTTTGCTATGTTGAAGACACAGATTTGTCTGCAGCCATCGTGTGATTAGTATTATTAGTATTATGTGAATAAGTGTTTATTATATATAGTATATTAGGTGTAGGATGCGTAATTATACGTTTTTCGTAACTTAAATTTTAGTGGACCTTTATTTTTAGTTTGGCCACACACCGCAAATACTTCCTATCCATACTGTTCTCACAACATGGTTGGCAACTTTGCTAAGCCAGCTTAAGCCGGCAATGACTGTTGCTCATTCATTTCTGTTGGAAGCGACAGTTTTGCCAGCCTTTACCTTAGTTTGTTCACATATACATATATTGAAATTCATAAATGCATATTCGGATTAATTTACAAGAATAACAAAGCTGCCTGAATCGTATTACATATGTAGATATCCCAAAGCTAAGACACTCACCCCTCACCAACTTAGCATCCACATTAGTTCGGTTCCAACTGTTTGGTTCGTAGCTTTGCTAGGCGACTGTCCATACATGTTGTTGCTTTGTTTTCGCTTATTTACTTACTGGTCAAACGCAGCTTTTTGAGCTTTTGACCGTGCTAATGCAATTAAAAATGCTGCAAACTTGAATTTCGCTCGCTTGCTGCAGCTTCCGACGGACACAACGCCCCCGCTGCGCGCGCTTCAAGCTTCTAGCCGCGTCTGCTGGCTGTCTGTATGCGTGAGCATATCTGTGTGCGTGTGCGTGTGCTGTTGTTGTTGTTGGCATCGACGGTTGCTTTTCAATTTTGGCCAAGTCCAAGTTGAACAGCGCTTAGCCCGCCAGAATCAAGTTCAGTCGCGCCGCAAACGCGTTGCGGAAATGTTTTGTTGTGAGCATCGTCGGCAACAGCAGCCTCCTGTTCGCAGCTACGCGCGGTGCTCCTTGCTCAGCCTCTGAGCAAAAGTAAACAACAAATAAAAACAACAACAAAAAAAAGAACGATAAAAAATCAAAAGAACAAAGGATTTTATTGCAAAACTTCCAGGTAAATGCAGCCGGGTGAAACGGGTAAACCTTAAACGGTTAACGGTTGTGCCGGATTATATTCAACTGTATTGCCTGGAATTTATATCCTCTACAGTATTTTTTTGTTCATGTGTGAGTTTGTGTGTGTGTGTGAGTGTGAGAAGCTGGCACGTGGTCCTTGCTGCTGCTGCTCCTCTTGTTGTTATTGCTGGCTGCCTTTTGAAGGTCACTTCGCATCAGGACTGAAGGCCGCGCCAGAGCGACATAGAGAGAGTGAGAGAGACAGGCGGGTAGCTGAGCAGCTAGAGAGAGAGAGAGAGAGAGAGAGAGAGAGAGAGACAGCAAGAGCTCTGTGTCGAGCAAATGTCAAAAGGTGGCTGCCTTAACGGCTTGTGGGCGAGTCGCGGGGTGGGCGGGGCTGGCGGGGCTGGCTGCGACTGCAGTGGAAAAGTTCTCGCAACAGTCACAAAAGTGAAAGTGCAAAAGGAGCCGAAGCTTATCAATTGGCCTAGAAATTAATGCTAACGGTATTTAAGTATGTTAAATTGTGTATTTACTATAGCAAAAAATTAATAAATACGAGACTTGAGTGAAATTTTGAAAAGTTAAAGATGGGAAATTTGAGAATGCAACGAGTCGTGACCTTGAATTAATAACAGGATATGTGGAGATATACATATATGTACATATATACATATGCTATATAAGTAAAAAGTTAATAAATTGTAAAAACTATTTTAAAGGCAATGTGATGCAATTCTATAATAATAATATATATATGAATATATATATACATACATATGAATATTTATTTCAACTACATTCCACTTTAGTTCAGTTCTCACTCGCACGACTATTTTAATGTATATTGATAATGAGATATACATATACATATATGTGGATAAGCATATACAAAAACAAAACCAATATGCTCAATTCACTCTCCTGAATGAGTGTAAAAAACTAAAACTGTATCATTTTTCGCTATAGCCACATCCATACGATGCGCTGTTGACTTCCTATAGTCGCTTGAAAATCCATTTTTTATTTGTTATATCTAAATTTAAAAGATCAAGATGAATTTTCAATTTTATATCTCAGCTGAATTTAATTTTAAATTCGATATATGCATAAATATAAATTTGGATCACAGCATTTGATGCCTGATTCCCTATTAAATTCAGTGTGACCGTTCCTAGATATATTGGAGTCCTGGATGGCCTATTGGGCTCCCCAGTTATAATATCCTTGAATAGATACTTGCTTGATCACGAACTAGAACTCAATTTGTACTATTCTCTGACCAACTCAGATAGTTTCTAGTATTTAGCATTTACCTGCTATATTTATCGTCCCTGAGCTGTGCTTTTAGATAGAACTATTTGTGGATACAGCAAATCAAATATTGAACAGCAAACATTTGCATGTGCGAGATAAGCTTGGCCTCCAGCTGGCACCGCTGGCCACCCTCTAGCACAATTCACACCTGTGACACACAGACACACACACACACGCACACCTGCACACCCACAAAATGAATTCTGCAAAATTTGCATAGTGATTAGCAAAGCGCAAGCGCTGGCTAAGACCGCGCCCAGTTAACGCTAACAAGCGAAGATTCTGTTGGGGCCAAAAGCTTGATTAGCTGACCGGCTTCTGACTGTGACTGAGCCGCATTTAGCCAAAGCTTCTTCTTACCACTCAAGTCATTGCTATTAAGACCATAGACTAAGACGATCTAGCCAAGTCTGTCCGCGTTTTTGGTGAAGTCAATCCATCTTTCGCCCGTGTGTCCGTCCAACTGTCTGACGGACGAAACTCAGCAGCTTCGTTCGCTCGGTCGGTCTGTCTATCCGTCCGTGTGCCTCTCTGTCCATCCGCCTATCTATTCATGCGTCCGTCCATCCGTTTGTGTGTCCTTCTGTCCGCCCGCTCAGCTGTCCGTGTTTCTATCTGTCCATCTGTCTATCCGTCCGCCTGATTATCCGCCCGCCTGTCTGTTTGTCTATATATGTATCTGTCTGTGTGTCTATTCATCGTTCCATCCGTCTGAGTATCTGTCCGACTGTCCACCCGTTTACCCGTTCGTCTATCTATGTATCTCTCCATCCATCCACTTATCCGCCTGTTTATTTGAATATCCAACCGGAGCGATGGAAGAAGGGAGGAATGTGTGATGAACAGACGGAAGGGCGGATGGACAGATAGAAAAACGGATATCCGATATCCGCAGATATCCTCCCTTCCGTCTGTCCATTAACACGTCTCTCCGTTCTTACATCCCTCCGTCTCTCACTACCTCCATCCGTCCATTATTCTCTCCGCCCGTTCGTATATTCTTCATATGCCAGCCTCAATAACTGTTCTTAAATCTAGAGAAGCTTTTATAGATACATATTGTTTTATATAACTTATTATATACATTATTGGGAACCTTTGGAGCTAGGCCTTGCAAATTGTTCTACTACTACTATGTAGAGTTGTATCTATATAACTTCTGGGCTTGTCCTCCAGGCTTAGCGGGTATTCCCCCCTTTTATTTGATTCGTTTGCCTCCTCTCTTGGCATCCGCTGCAGCCCTTTTGGCCCAATTGGCGCCGCATTGGCGATATTCACAGTTAGAGAATTGGAAGTCTGAAGAGTCGTGGCAACTCTGCAATTAGCGTGCACTGCAGACAGGTGGCAACTGTGGCCGGCTTTTGTTTATGGCTGTGTATTTGCTTTATCTTTGCCCATGCTTGTTGGCTATAACGGTTAACCTTCACCTGGCAGCAGTCGCAGTCGCAGTCGCAGCAGCAGCAACTCGTTCAATGACCGCCACTGTCATTGCCGCTGTCCATCACAAAGCCTCCGCTCTGTTATGGTTACTGTCCAAAGGGAGCCAACACTGGAGGGGGGGGGTCAACCAAAGCGCCCTCCTTCTTCGGTGCGCTCTTCAACTTGACCCCAATTCGCAGGCTTCAATTCTGGTTTCTGCTGCGGCTGCTTCTTCTTCATTTAATGGGCAAGGACCCGCCCAGTCACGTTGTCTTGCCGGTGACCTTTAGCAAGGCGATTAAGATCATTTCAAGTGGCAGGTAAAAACTGACGACAGGCGTGGCAGTTGGTTAGTCGATGGCGAGTGCGAGGGGGAGGGGCAGGGGCAGGTGTGCATGACAATTACACGTCCAAACTTAACAGCTTGGCTCGAAAATTGAATGTTGAACAAGTCTTAAAGCTGTCGCTGTAACTCTGAGCCGGAAGGGCTAAGGGGACTGGGGCTGGGGCTGGGGCTGGGGGGGGTGATAGAGGGGCCCCAGACTTGAAAATATGATTTAATATGGATTAAGGCAGCCTATGATAGAGCTTATGTAGTTAAATGCTAATTGATTGCAGTTTCAACAGAGAGAGAGAGAGGGA